ACTATAAATCCACAGTAATAAAAAGAGTATATTGTTGGCATAATGGAGCCGAGTACAGAGTCTAAAAATAAGCCCTCACATTTATGATCAATTGAGTTCAACAAAAGTGCCAAGGCAATTCAGTTCAAAATGGTGCTGGAATAATTGGATATCCATGTATAAAAAGAGTGAACTTAGATCCTTACCTCACACCGTATATAAAAATTAATAACTAAAACAAGATCATAAACTGAAATATGAAAGCTAATCATAGGAGAATATCTTCGTGACTTTGGGTTAGGCAAATATTGCAAAATATAACAGTAAAAGTACAATCCATGAGAGAAAAATAATGATAAATTGGATTTCATCAAAATTTAAAGACAACATTAAGAAAATGAAAAGACATGCCACAGATGGGGAGGAAATATTTGAGAATTATTTATGTGATAAAGGACTTGTATCCAGAATATATAAAATAGTCTTACAACTCAATAATAAAAAATGAATACAAACAATCCAATGAAAAAGTGGACAAAACTTTTGAATAGATATTTCACCAGAGAAGATATATGAATGACCAATTAGCACATGAGAAGATACTCAACATCATTTTAAAAAACCAAACCCATTGCTGTTGAGTCAATTCTGACTTATAGTAACCTTATAAGAATAGAACTGCCCGATAGGATTTCCAAGGAGTGGCTGGTGGATTCGAACTGCAAACCTTTTGGTTAGCAGCTGTAGCACTTAACCACTGTGCCACCAGAGCCCCTTAACATCATTAATCATTAGGAAAATGCAAATTCAAACCACAGGAGATACTACTGTACACCTTCTAGCATGGCTGTGATCAAAAAGAGTGACTGTGTCAACTGATGGCAAGGATGTGAAAGAACTGGAACTCTAATACACTGCTGGTGGGAATGTAAAATGGTATAGCCACTTTAGAAAATGATTTGGAAATAAAAATTAAGCATATACTTAGGATACAACCCAGCAGTTTTACTCCTATTTATCCAACAGAAATGAAAACATACTCCCTTTAAAGACTTGTATATGAATATTCGTAATATCATTATTCATAATAACTGGAAACAATGCAAATGTTTATCAAATGGTGAATGGGTAAACGAAGTGTATTGTATCCATGAAATACTACTCAGCAATAAAAGGGAGTGAACTTCTGATACATACAACACCATGATTGAGCATCAGTAATACTGTTCAGATACAAAAGACTACATATTGTATGATTCCACTGATCATAAAATTTCTAGAAAAGGCATTACTACAGACACAGAAAGTAGACCACTGATGCTGAGAACTCAGGCTGGGAACCAGGATCGACTGCAGATAGACATGGGGGAGATTTCTTAGGAATGGAAGTGTTCTAAAACTGGATTATGGTGATCACTGCACAATTGTTTAAAATCACCATCAGTCCCCGGGTTACGAATGTCCGACTTACAGACAACTCGTACTTGCCCTTTGATGTTATGTAAATCAGCCCTCACTTTGAAAGCATTGAACCAACCCCTACTCAGCAACAAATTCTTCATCACAATCACTTTCACTTGATGCATGTGCAGCTTTTAAATTATTGAAAAGGGTTCAGAGCCTTTTCTTGCACTAAAGTAAGGCAAAATAAAAATCATGTGCACCTGTTCTGACATACCTACAGATTCTTAAAGACGCACTCAGGAATGGATCTCGTTTGTAACCCGGGGACTGCCTGTACTAAAAATCATCAAACTATACACTTATAATGGGTTTATTTTATGTTATGTAAGTTATTCCTGAATAAATGTATTATAAAAATAGCTGATAAAATACGTGTTCAGAGATGAATGGCACACCGTGAGGTACAAAACTTAAATCCTTTGTTCGCAATAGGAGGATCAGGGTGTGTGCTGGCAGTGATAGCTTCTCTGGACCCCATTTCCTTCTGAGAAGCCAAGGAGGTTGAAGGTGTAGAGTAAAATGAGGATTTGCAGACAAATCATATATACATGAAGCGATTTATTTCTGTGGCGGAGGCAAAGAAATAAAGTTTTGCGTTATGACTTATGCCGCAACTGCCTATCTCTACCCAGAAGTAAAGGTTAAAAAGACACACACGCGCACACACACATATGCACACACACACGCACACACACACACACACACCCCTCTGGGTCATTAGGAGAAGTCCTGTTACCTTAGGAGGTTGGCAAACTAAAGCCTCTGGCCACATCTGATGCACAACGTGTTTTTATGGCCTACAAACTAAGAATTATCTTTACATTTTTAAAGATTATTTAAAAAGAATAGTATGCAATAGATACCATATGTGACCTGCAAAGCTGAAAATAGTTACTGTTCGATTGTTTATTGTAAAAGTTTGCCAGCCCCTGATTTGCAACATGGTTTCGGCCTCTAATCCCCACAAACCTTCTGTAAATAGCTGTTCTAGGAACAACTCACCTCCTTCAAAGTTCAGTAATCAAAAAGAAACTAGCACAGTGTCTGTATAAGTATGTAAGAAAGGAAGTAATTGGAATAACTAATGGCAGATGGAGACCACTTACCAGAAAAAAAGGTAGCCATGAAACAGGTTAAAATTGTGTGCAAGTAATTTATTATCAGTTTTTTAAAACTTAATAAAGCAAGAACTTTTGCTTCTGACTGTGAGAGATTAGCTTGCATCATACCCATCACTACACCAAGAAGATCTATAAAGCAGGATTTTTTTTTAAAATTATTTCTGTAGGAACACTTCTTACAATGTGTATCTGTAGGAAGGCATTGACAAGATAACTAGCCAGCCAGGACTTTAATGACCAAGATCCTATAGAGAAGGGGAGTGCAGAGAGTGCTGCCCAGCGTTCAGTACCACATTTTCATTTTGCTAATATGGAAACAGTAGCTGAGAATCTGGAAAGCTGAGCAGAGTTTTCCACAGTCTCATAAAGCTGGAGAGAGAAAAACTGAAATTCAGTGCAGGCCAAGGTGCAGGATTCTTGGTAAACAAATCAAGCTTTCAACTGGACCCATTCAGAGGCTACTTTCTAGGAATAAGGGTGAACCAGAAAGAGATGAGCCGTCCGAAAAAACTGAAACCTAGCTTCTAATTAGCTCAATTCCTGGTCTAGCTTTAGTCTTATTACCTGCTGCCAGTAAAAGTAAATTTTCTCTGGAGGAAGGTATTATCCAGAGCCTCACATTGTCTCTACAATTTTCATATACAATGTCTGACATGCAGTAGAAAATTACCAAGCATACTACCAAAAAACCCGTTGCCATCAAGTCTATTCTGACTCATAGCAACCCTGTAGGACAGAGTAGAGCTGCCCCATAGGGTTTCCAAGGAGCAGCTGGTAGATTCGAACTACAGACCTTTCGGTTAGCAGCCGAGCTCTTAACCACTGCCCCACCAGGGCTCCATCAAGCATACTAGACACAACCAAATGGCTGAAAACCAAGAGGAAAAAAGATTAACAGCAACACTTAAGAAAAAAATGAAGATGGGCTGGCAGTCAGTACAGACAGGTCCACAGGGTTCCAAGTATTGGAATTTTCAGAAGTGGGCTTTAAAATAACTGTGTGATATGTTCAAGAAAATAGAAGACATGATGAATAATTTCAGCAGACAACTGAATCTATATAGAGGAATCAAATAGAATTTTTAGAAGTGAAAATGAAATAACTGAAGTAATTACCCAATAGAAAATTTTACCAATAGATTAGAAAGCATCAAAGAAAGGACTGGGTGAGTAAAAAAATTTCCAGACTAAAGTATGGACAGAAACTAAAGAGGATAGAAAATACAGAAAAGAGGGCATGAGACATAGGGGAAACAATGAAAAGATCTAACATGCAAGTATTTGGATTCCCAGAGGGAGAGGAAAGGGAGACTGAGGCAAAAGCAATATTTGAAGAGTTAATGGCCCGTAATTTTCCAAAACCTATGAAAAACATTGAGCCACAGATTGTCCCACAAACCCTAAAGATGATAAATAAAAATTAAAATCAACCTAGGCACATCATAGAAAAATCGCTGAAAACTAACAGCCAACAGAAAATCCTAAAAGCAGCCAAAGAGAAAGACACATTGCATTCAGAGGAGCAAAGATTAGACTGAGACCTGACTCTCAATAGGGAAAATGGAATCCAGAAGAGAAAGAAATGACATCTTTGAAGTGCTAAAGGAAAATAACTGCCAACTTAGAATGTTATACACAGCAGAAATATCTTTCAAAAAAGAAGGCAAGTATGCAGACTATAGAAGACTCTACAGGACACACAACTTCCCTTCTTCAATAATAGCAAGAAAAATAAAAGTCTGGAGGGGAACCTATAGAGTCAGAGAGACTTAAAAGACATATTTACTGTTGGAAAGTTTTTTGACATTTTCAGATAACTGGAAATTTGAATAATTGCTACCTATTTGATGACATAAGGAAACTTGTTAAATTTGTTTCAGTGTAATGATTTTGTGGTTGTATTTAAAGAGATTTTTTAGAGATATGTGCAGTAATGTGTATAGGTAAATTATTTGATATCTGATATTTGCTTCAGAATAATACAGGAGGAAGAGGTAACAGGACAGTAGTACAGATGAAACAAGGTTGAAGTTGAGGTGATCATTGTTGAAACTGGACATTGAGCTCATGGGAGTTTTCTTAATATGTTTGAAGTTCTTCATAGTAAAAATTTAAGAAGATGATATAAAGACATTTTCAGACTTAAAAAGAGAGAGAGAGAGAGAGATACTGTCACCAGCAGAACTGAGGCGTTCTTTCTTCACGCAAAAGAAAATGGAACCGATTTACTATAGGGGGTAAGGAAAGGGAGAAGGAGAATTCAAGGAATACTCGATGTTTTTAAATTTGGTGAACAGAAGGGTATGTAATAATAAGAAATCAGGAGGACAAGCATTTTCTAGTGGAAGATGATGAGTTATCAGATTTGACAAAAGGCATCTGAGACCTTGAATTCCTGATTCTAAAAGTCAGACATGTCTTTAAACTGCCTTTCAGCTTACCACTTTGTATGAGAACTTAAGTATGCACAATCAGCAGTTAGAAGAAGAGGTCAAAGATCTAGCGGACAAGAAAGAGTCAGTTGCACATTGGGAAGCCCAAATCACAGAAATAATTCAGTGGTGAGTACTCTTTTAAATATATGTTTTTGTGGGCATACAATCAAATTGGTGTGAATTCCAGGAGGCTACTTACATGTTCTTTATCTTATTTGTTTGCTGTGAAAAATAAATTACTCTGAAAAGCAGTTTTATTACTTAGCTGTCATTTGTGTTCTACTATGTTTTATGTTCTGTTCCTCTGTTTCCTAACTCCAACAAATATCTTGTACCAATTTTACACAGCTTCACTCAAAGTTGATAATTCTAAGAAGAAAAAAAAAAAGTCCTTTCCTAAGACAGAGTTGGTCCTTTAAGAACTGAAGAAACTTCCTTTATCAGATCAAAATAACTGTATTTGTGATTATTTTAAGAAACAGAAGACCTGTAGAAAAATTTAGAAGCTGAAGATGCTGTGCTATCCCCTTCTTTCATAATTATAACAGAATAACTTACACATGGCATTTTAGAAACCTTAAATAGTTGCACTTTAGTTTCATCAGCTGTTCCTTAAACTCTTGGAGTTTAATTTGGAATAATTATTTTAGTAACCTTCATATTAATTCATTAAGTAATCAGTCTAGTACTTGTAAAAATGTGCATGTCTTTGTAGTACATGGAGAAAGTAGAATCCAATAGGAACGTTATTCTGTAATAGAAATAGGTAGCTTAACTTTTTTTTTTTTTAATTGTACTTCAGATGAAGGTTTACAGAACAAAATAACTTCTCATTAAACAGTACATATACTGTTTTATGACATTGGTTAACAACCCCATGATATGTCAACACTCTTCCCTTCTCGACCTCGGGTTCCTTATTACCAGCTTTTCTGTTTCTTCTTGCCTTCTAGTCCTTGCCCCTGGGCTGGTGTGCCCCTTTAGTCTCTTTTTGTTTTATGGGCCTGTCTAATCTTTGGCTGAAAGGTGAACCTCAGGAGTGACTTCATCACTGAGTTAAAAGGGTGTCCAGGGGCCGTGCTCTTGGAGTTTCTCCAGTCTCTTGTCAGGCCAGTAAGTCTGGTCTTTTTTTGTGAGTTAGAATTTTGTTCTACATTTTTCTCCAGCTCTATCCAGGATCCTCTATTGTGATCCCTATCAGAGCAGTTAGTGGTGGTAGCCGGCACCATCTAGTTGTACTGGACTCAGTCTGGTGGAGGCTGTGGTAGATGTGGTCCATTAGTCCTTTGGACTATTGTTTCCCTTGTATCTTTAGTTTTCTTCGTTCTTCCTTGCTCCCAAAGGGACGAGACCAGTGGAGTATCTTAGATGGCCGCTCACAGGCCTTTAAGACCCCAGATGCTACTCACCAAAGTGGTAGCTTAACTTTTTATATTCACTAACTTTTTTTTACTCTTTTGGTGCATCATGGATTTTTAATTTATATCAAAACAACTGGTTTCTTCATGTATCTGCAGAGCAGTCATTTGTTGTGAATTTTTGTTTCATGTGCTCATATTTTGGTTAAGTATTTTGCCATTTTTCTTACTTATACTAGATTCATAATCTCCTTGTTAAATAAAATCAAAAGTGAATAAACACTGTCTTTTAAAGTAATCTTACCTAAATGACTCAAGTATTTTTATATTGACTTAACTGTTGTTATGTACCGTCCAATCAGTTCCAACTCAGAGCAGCCCTTTAGGACGGAGTAGAACTGCCCCATAGGGTTTCCAGGGAGTGGCTGGCAGATTCAAACTGCTGACCTTTTGGTCAGCAGCCAAGCTCTTAACCAGTGCGCCATAGGGTTCTTATTTTAACTAATCTTCAGCTCATGAACGTGTGACTATTCAGTGCATATCTAAAGGAAAGTGCCTAAATTTGGAAATTTGATTGTGTTGCAAATAGTACAATTAAATGTTCATTAATGTTAAATTTACATCTATGTCATCAAATCCACATTTCTGAAATGAACTTATTTTAATCTTTAGCCAAGTTTATAATATCAAAAATTATGACTCTTCATTTTGTAAATCCGTTATAATGTAATCAGATTTATAATTAAAGTGGAACTAACAATGACTTTATAGAAGACAAAGCTGATATGACCAAAGACTGAGATCGTAGACCACTGCTCTTTTCCAGTGACTGGCAGGGTGGGTTCGGATGGAATGAGAAGTGGTTCTGGTAAAGGAAGGAAGCTTTAAATGTGAACGCTCCTGAAAGGGATAGTAGAAGGGATGAAGATGAAAGTTTTTATATGTGCCACAAAACACTCATTTTACACTTTTCACATTCAGGTGAAATATGCAGAACAAATCAGGAATATAAGGAAGTCACTTTGCTTAAGAGCTGTTGTTTAGAAATGGATTAACATATAAGATAACAAATTATTGAATACCTGGTAGGCAAAAAGGAGTTCCTCAGTGCAAATGTTTAATGTGCTCAGCCGCTAACTGAAAGATTGGAGGTTCGACTCCGCCCAAATGTACCTTGGAAGAAAAGCCTAGTGATTCTCCAAAAAAATCAGCCAATGAAAACCCTATGGAGCACAGTTCTACTCTGATTTGCATGGGGTCACCATGAGTTGGAATTCACTCATTGGCTGTTTTCATATGAAAGGGGTATTTCATAGGAAAAGTTTGAGTAAGCTAAAAGTAAAAGATGTATTTCCTGTTATCAGAGTTCTCACTTACTTGAAACTTAGCTCTCTGAGATATAATACCCAAGCTTAAAAAAGATAGTAGGACTTGGGCTATTTCCATTTTTTCAAACTGGTATATTAAAAAATGAAGTAATACCAAAACAAGGTTATGGAAACTTGTGGTATACAATATTTTCATTGTTTCTATTGGAAAAATTAAGTTTTAATACAAAATAAATACTACTGTAGGTGTAACCTCATTTGAAGGAACTTAACCCCCCTTTATCTTTTCCTATAAAATATCTCTTTCATATGAAAATCTTTTAGAGCTAAGGGGAACTTGCTTCTCACCACTGTAATAGAGCAAGGACTTTCTTTCTCAGCATTGGCTTATCAGAGGCAATGGATTATTTTAATCCATCTACATTATTGCAAACATCTCTCACTCAGTAATCTTCATTTGTTTAGAATAGTAATTTATGTTTATTGAAACATAGTATCTTCCAGGCATTGGACTGAAAATTTTCATGTGTTCTTATTTATCATCAGTCCTATGAGTAGATATTATTATTATCTTTATATTACAGGTGAGAAAACAAATTTAGAAGGGGTAAGTGACATCCAAAGTCACATAGCTGGTAAGCAGCAGAGCTAGGATTTGAACCCAGGTCTGTTTGACTCAAGAATCTAAGTGCTTAATTACTGTACTATATAGGTTCTGTATCCCCAACTTTACAACGATCAAGGAGCCCTGGTGGTGGTGCAGTGATTAAACACTTGGCTGCTAACCTAAAGATTGATGGTTTGCACTTAACAGCTGCTCCACAGGAGAAAGATGTGGAAGTCTGCTTCTGTAAAGATTTATATAGTCTTAGAAACCATATGTGGCAATTCTCTTCTGTCCTTTAAGGTTGCTCTGAGTTGGAATTGACAGCAGTGGGTTTGGTTTCACAGATCATATCTTATATATCTTCTTTTGTAAGTATTTAATAAGTAATTCTTGATTAATTTTTGAAAGAAATTGGGAGGAGAGGATTAGATATGCCAAAAGAACAAAATAGATCTGAGTTGGTCTTTTGTAATTGAGCAGTTGTTTTAACAGACTGTAGTTTTAGCAAAATAGTTGAGACAGAAATCAGACATCAGGGAGTATATAAGAGTGACTGAAGGGTTGAGCAATTAGATATAAATAAGTACAGCAGTGAAACCAACCAGTTGTCGTCAAGTCAATTCAGACTCATGGCAACTCCATGTGTATCAGAGTGGAACTGTGCTCCATAGGGTTTTCAGTGGCTGATTTTTCAGAAGTAGATCACCAGGCCTTTCTTCCAAGGTGCCTCTGAGTGGACTCAAACCTCCAACCTTTTGGTTAAGCCGAACACATTAACTGTTTGCACTACCCAGGGACTTCTATAAAAATGAAGGGAGAGAAATAGAATGTTGGCGATTGGGACAGCTGAGATACGGAACATTTTGAGGGGGGTGGTTAGGAAAGGTCTGTACATATTGAAAGGAAACATTGGAAATAATAAAATCGGTAATATAAGAAGTAGTAGAGAAGATAATTGTTTGCATGTAGTCATAATAACTATGAGATTAGTGCTATATATGAATGATTTAGCCCGAGGAAAGATCAGAGACATGCCTCTAAAACTGTTACAAAACGTAAGACAATGAGTATGAGTAGACTTAACCAGATATCCTAGAGGCAAGGGGCAAGAGACAGTGTTGGGACTGGGGGGAAGTGAGATTTTCGAAGACCTAGGTCAGAAACAGACAAAGAGCAATAATGATGAAAAGGAATTGTTGTATAAGACCTAGAGCCCGTGAAACTTAAAATAATGGCAAGAGTTTGTAGCCAACTGAGTCTGTTTTGTTTTGTTTTTCACTCTCCTCAGTAATGCTATGTAGCCAAGAAAAAGAGACATGAGTTTAATCAAAAGTTGGGGATTAGTGGAACACCACAGTGGTAAGGGAATGTGAATATGTTCAACATGTAAATAAAAAGCCAACTTAGAAAAAAGAGATTGTTTGTCATAATTTCAAACAACATAAAAGCGATTTACAAGAAGTTATTTGGTTTCCAAAGTTAATAAAACACAATAGACTTCACAAGTTCCTGGAAATTTGTATAAACCAAGATCTCTGAGCTGTGGTAGACACTAAACCAGCACTAGCTGAGGCCTGTTAGCTTGACCATTTAAATGATAATACAGTTTTCCTCATTGTTACTATGTAAGTGTGTTTCTTTGTACTCTATAAAAAGACAGTCTTCCTCTGTCTCCATTTATTCTTTATACTATAGATTGGATAGTTAAATGAAAAGATTGCAGTTAGTTGTGATGTCCAAAAGTTAAAGAATTTTAGAAGGAAACAGCCCCAATACTACACAGACTTTCTTAAAATATTTTCTAAAGACATTTTCTTTAAAAGACAATAAAAATATGTACATATACATAGTGCCTAAAAATATGTAACTATCACTAGAGTGGGCAACGTCTTAGAGTGGTTTTATTGCTTCTGTTTATAGATTCTTTTGCTTGGAACTCCAAAACACTCCCATCTGAGAGCATCAAACCCCCTGTAAATAGCTGTATATGAATTTGACTCTTTGGGATTTTAAATTCTAAGAGATGCTGAAGCAAGGCACAAGAGTTAAACCTGTCTGTTGTATGCATCACAGATACATATTGATTTACCAGAGATATACTTTCATCAAAGCTTCAATAGCATGGATTTATCTGTGAAAACAAACAGCCTGTACAAAGGCAAATCATTTTCCCAGAAGTATATTAATATACACTCCTGAGCATTGCAAAGTTCAAGTCCATTTTTTTTCTCAGTGCAATTATGGCTTCCTATATACCAAAGGTTTTTATATTTTTGAGATAAGACCTTCTTTTGTAGATTTTCATATCCTGGGGCTTCTTAATCCCCAGCCCCACCCCACCCTGCCCTTCTGTGTTTTGGAAGAGGTGTAACAAATGCAGACTTTGTCTTGAGAAATTCTGAAATGTGAACTTTGTTGTCTCATTGAATATAATTTGAAAACTTTTCTATCAAAAATCGTGATAGTTGCATCAACTAGATGGTCTTAAAACAGTAAAACTAGAAACTGAGTTTCTGTGGACTTTAATCTTTTCTTTTTGATTTATATTTTACTGATCATTTCAGAAAACATTTGTATGTATTTATTACCATACAAGCCTAATATTGGCAAAATATTCCATTTTAAACTAAACTTCCTGAATTTAATATACTTCAGTTTTATGAAGGGTGTATCGTGCTTACATCAGGATCCAGTTACCAGGAAATCGTAGTCCTCTTTAGAAATTATTGTGTGTGTCTGTCTTTGTGGGTGTGCGTGTGTACACTCTCGCACGTGTACATGCATGTATGTTAAATTAAAAGAGTACTAATCCTGTGGTTTAAGAGTGAAATTTTACCAGTTTATCAGATTAGTATCTCATTCTTTTCTAAACATCGCCAGCTTTAATTTGTAGATAACTCACAGTTCAGTAACGAGCCCTGGTGACATAGTGGTTAAAGTGCTTGGCTGCTAACCAAAAGATTGGCAGTTCGAACCCACAAGCCACTCCATGGGAGAAAGATGTGGCAATCTGCTTCCATAAAAATTACAGCCTTGGAAATCCTATGGGGCTGTTCTACTCTGTCCTGTTGGGTCACTATGAGTAGATGTCTTCTCGACTGCATTGGGTCACAGTTCAGTAAACCTCTTGTCACTTGCTGACAGGTAATAGTATTGTAATAGGCCTCTTGAAAGAAGATATTTTTTAAAATCTTTAAATTTTTATTATCACTATGTCTGTATGAAGCTTTAAAATATATCTCATTGGAGTGTTTCTGTTTGTTTAGCTTCTGTACTTTATCTTTTTATATATGTTTTAGGGTCAGTGATGAAAAGGATGCCCGAGGATATCTTCAGGCCTTAGCCTCTAAAATGACTGAAGAATTGGAAGCATTAAGAAATTCCAGCTTGGGTACACGGGCAACAGTAAGCTCTGCCATTTTGCATGGAGGCATATCATATTAGAAAAAGAAGGCTCAAAAACAAAAGTGAAAATCTGATTACTCATATCGGTTTTTCTGGGCTTCAGCCTACGCTAAACTTTTTCATGAGAAATCCGTTAGCCCAGGTCTTTTTCAGGTTAGGAAAACATTAAACATAGCTACTTAACTGTAATTTGTAGGAGTAGCCATTATTGGTAATAACTATAAAAAATGAACTCTTTTGTATGTGTCTTTTACAATTATTTCTGAATTTAATGAAAAATAATATATTTTCATAAAAAATATTTCTGTTGTATTCTGTTATTAGAGAGAGACAGTGCTTTCGCGTAGCTCCCAAATTCACTTCGATTAATAAATTTTAATGTTAAAAATAAAATCACAGGGAGCTAAAAACATAGTCATATTATTTCATAGGATATGCCCTGGAAGATGCGTCGTTTTGCAAAACTGGATATGTCAGCTAGATTGGAGTTGCAGTCAGCTCTGGATGCAGAAATAAGAGCCAAACAGGCCATTCAAGAAGAGCTGAATAAAGTTAAAGCATCTAACATCATAACAGAATGGTAAGATTTAATAATATAGTACTACTAGAATAATTTCTAAGTTTGTCAAAAAATATTTGAAGAGAAATTACATGTTTAATTTCCTGCCTATCACTTAAAAAAAAAGACCATAAAAAGTTATAAAGATTTGAAAATGAATAGCTGCTTTCAACTCGTATCTCTAGTGATGGGATTTTAATACAGCTTTGTTTTTCTCTGGCTTCTTCATAAAGTGGAATTAACAGTATTAATTAATATACCATTATTAACTTTTCCCCTTATTTGTACATTTAGTTGATTCTCAAATTTCATTTTATTAAACCAAAAGTCTTTCATGTTCAAGAACACTACATTAGTATAAAAATGTAACATATAGTCAGAACACAGTACAGTGATCTGAAAATTGTAGCCTCTACCATAGACCTTTTACAATGAAGATTCTGTTGATGGTAAATTTCATAATAATGTAATGTATTTTAATTACAATTATTGTTTTTCATGTTCTTATGTGTATTTTAAAAAGTACATTCCAGAATCTCTGGGGCATTTAGCTAATGAATGCATTCATTCAATTCTTATCACAAGAATAGAGCAAATTATACTCTGGATGCATAAATGATAAAATGATAATCATAATCGGATTAGTTACAAACATGGTTCAACAATAAGTCAATATAGGTGATATAGAGGAACAATGCAAAGTTCAAGTCACAAATGAAAATATAGTTATAAAAATCCATTTGCTGTTTGAAATACCAAAGATTCCGAAAGCATTGAGTTTATGAGAAGAAATATAAGGCCATAAATTCAATTTTTAATGGTGAGAAGTCTTAGTCCTTAACTGCAGTCATTAATGTTTTGGATCAAATAAGAGGTCAGATTCATGGCACCCCTGTTGAATTATAAACTTTCTGCTGTAAATAATTGAGACATAAATTAAATATTCTTTGCTTAAATAGGCTTGTGTGATAGTGAAAAGGGAAGAAAGCTTTTTCTGGAGAATATGAATGATCCCAGCATAAAAAGTGCTGAATGTCATTTTCTGTGTTGTAATTTGGAATAGGTATGATCTTTCTTCATATGCCCCAGACATATGAAGACACACATTTGTTCATGAATCAAAGATACAAGTCACACTGAAAATTATGAACTTACTCATGTATTTGCTCCACTTTCATGGATCCTTATGAAAGAACTCTTAACAGAATTCTAAAATTAACTTTTGATTTTATGGCGTCTTTTTAATTTAATAATTTAGTTCAGGGATCAGCAAACTTTTTTCTATAAAGGGCCAGGTGGTAAATATTTTAGGCTTTGAGGACATATAGTCTCTATCACAACTACTCAACTCTTCTATTGTAGTGGAAAAGCAGTCATAGACAATACACAAATGAATGAGCACGACTGAGTTCCAGTAAACCTTTATGTACATAAAGAGAGATGACAGGCTGGATTTCCCCTCCCCTAGTTCATCTTGAAGGAGTCCTGGTGGCCCAGTGGTTAAGCACTCGGCTGCTAACTGAAAGGTCAACAGTTTGAACCCACTAGCCGCTCCATGGGAGAAAGATGTGGCAGTCTGCTTCCATAAAGATTACAGCCTTGGAAACCCTGTACGGCAGTTCTACTCTGTCCTATAGGGTCTCTATGAGTCGGAATAGACTCATCCACAGTGGGTTTATTTTTTTCAATTTATCTTGACATTTCAACAAAATAAGTCCAATTACAAACAAGGTGGCTCACTAACCAACAATTAAAATTAATGACTTTTTTTTTTTTGTCCTTTATTTAAGTAAACTAAAAGATTCAGAGAAGAAGAACTTGGAACTGCTAGCAGAAATCGAACACCTGATAAAGGACACTGAAGAGCTTAGATCTGAAAAGGGTATGGGAACGTGTGTTTGCATCAATCAGGACTTACTATTCTGCTATGAGTACATTTTATTATGTAACAGTCAACTTATTGTATAGGTTGGAGAATTGCTCACATAAGCAATTCTGGCGCTCATTTTTTTTTCTTTCATTTTTTAATATATGTATTGTATGTGTTAAGCACACACACATTTGGTAGACTGTTCTCTGAGTCATTTTGTTTTGTTTAATATTCATTGTTTTAAGATTTCATAGTAACAGAAAAAGTCACATTGCCATAAGTTTAACTGTTTTTTCAGTGTCATGGACTATTTCATGAATAATAGTTTAGTAATTGAAAAGAAAATTTTATATATTTTATCATATTCTCAAATGTTATAGTATGAGGTAATTACTCTGACAATGACAGAGTGTGTTAACTGTAAGAACTGGTAAAGATACTTAAATAAGTATTTACTAGCACTTCTTATATTCCTAAAATGTACATAATCTTGGGGGTAATTCACTCTCAGAGTAGTTGAGGAAATAATGTATGAAATAACTTCAGATTAATCTGCTTCAGTATTAAAAGTCAATTCAGTAGGGAAGAATTATTTTGGCATCTCAGTATCTTCTTCCATGTTTGATTCTTAGATTGCTTACCCTGTGGAAATTCCCAAGATTATTACCATTTTCTTAAAAACTTGACTTGAGCGTTTTTCCATTAATGTGAAAGCTAACTCAAAATTGTTCGATGATTCTATTACATGAACTTCTTAAGTTTTCCTTCCATAATAATAAGCATTAAGTATGTGAAGATTTAATAAAAAGAAGTTCAGAATGTTTGTTTTTTTTTTTTAATGAAGGGATATCTTCTAGGCAGATATTAGAAGTTCATTTTCCTGACAAAGGACTGAATGTTGAGTTAGGCAGTGGGTTTCTGCTGTGCCTAAGTGCTTCCCTGTCCTTCCCTAGCCCTGCGACACAATGTGCGGTAAAGGAGCTGAGTTTCTGAAACTGCTGTTAAAATTGTGGAGTGCAGAGGGTAGCCACATAAAGGAGCTAACGTGAAAAGTCATTAAATGTAGATATTCAGTAAATTGTTGTTGAGTGAATTTAATGACCAGGAAAAGGTAAGGAACCCAGAAAAAGTACATAGGAACTCAGATTAGGGGTACAAGCCATCCATGCTAAAACAAGAACCAAGCTGAGTTTTAATTCATGAAGAGTGGGAAGGGGTATACATTATTTAGTGAGAAGAGGGAAAAGAATACATAAGACATGGAGGCCCTGCAGTCTTTGAGGCAATTTGTGTAGAAAAAAGACCAATGCAGAATACTACACTAGGTGACATTGACTGCACCATTTTTAGAATAGATGTAAACTTGAAAAAAATTATCAGACTGCTTTAAGAACGCATGTTAATCTATAGCCTTGTATTTGTATTTTGAATACTGCAGAATAATAAAATTTCACTGTATGTTATGACATCATGTTTATACTACTTTAATATAATGTATACTTAATGAGGACAAGGATTTTTTTTTTTTTCTACTTTGTTTACTGTTATATCCCCAGTACCTAAGTCAGTACCTGGCACATAATAGGCTCTCCATAAATATTTACAGACTGAATGAATTTCTGAACATAGAGCCTTACCTGGTAACTAAGATGTTGTTGTTAGTTGCCATCAAGTCAGTTCTGACTAATGGTAACCCCATGTGTGTAGAGTAGAACTGCTCCATAGGGTTTTCAAGGCTGTGTCCTTTCAGAAGCAGATCACCAAGCCTGTCTTCCAAGACAGCACTGGGTGGATTCAAACTGCCAACCTTTCAGCTAGTAGCCCAGCACTTAAACATTTGTGCCACCCAGTGGGTCCTAACTTTGTTTATTATTAGAGAGTAACATGAAAAGCATGTAACTAGTTGATGCCGGTACTGAAGGAAGAGGTCCAAGCTGCACTGAAGGCATTGGCGAAAAACAAGGCTCCAGGAATTGGCAGAATACCAATTGAGATGTTTCAGCAAACAGATGCAGGAAGAAAGTGCTCACTTGTCTACTCCAAGAAATTTGGAAGACAGCTACCTGGCTAACCGACTGGAAGAGATCCATATTTATGCCTATTCCAAAAAAAGGTGATCCAACCAAATGTGGAAATTATCAAACAATGTCATTAATATCAGACACAAGTAAAATTTTGCTGACGATCATTCAAAAGCGGCGCAACAGTACATTGACAGGGAACTGCCAAAAATTGAAGCCAGATTTAGAAGAGGATGTGGAACCAGGGATATCATTGCTGATGTCAGATGGTTCCTGGCTGAAAGCAGAGAATACCAGAAAGATGTTTAACTGTGTTTTATTGACTATGCAAAGGCATTTGACTGTGTGGATCATAACAAATTATGGATGACATTGCAGAGAATGGGAATTCCAGAACACTTAATTGTGCTCATGAGGAACCTGTAAATAGACCAAGAAGCAGTTGTTCAAACAAAACAAGGGGGTACTGCATGGTTTAAAGTCAGGAAAGGTGTGTATCAGGGTTGTATCCTTGCACCATACTTATTCAGTCTGTATGCTGAACAAATAATCCAAGCAGCTAAACTAAATGAAGAAGAAGGGCATCAGGATTGGAGGAAGACTCATTAATAACCTGCATTATACAGATGACACAACCTTGCTTGCTGAAAGTGGAGAGAACTTGAAGCATTTACTGATGAAAATCAAAGACCACAGCCTTCAGTATGGGTTACACCTCAACATAAAATGAAAATCCTCACAACTGGACCAATGAGCAACATCATGATAGAGAAAATATTGAAGTCGTCAAGGATTTCATTTTACTTGGATTCACAGTCAATACCCATGGAAGCAGCAGTCAAGAAATCAAACATGCATTGCATTGGACAAATCTGCTCCAAAAGACCTCCTTCAAGTGTTAAAAACCAAAGACGTCACCTTTAAGACTAAGGTTCGCCTGACCCAAGCCATGGTGTTTTCAGTCACCTCATATGCATGCAAAAGCTGGACAATGAATAAGGAAGACTGAATAAGAATTGACACCTTTGAATTATAGTGTTGGCGAAGAATATTGAATATGCCAAAAGAACGAACGAATCTGTCTTGGAAGAAGTACAGCCAGAGTGCTCCTTAGAAGCAAGGATGGTGAGACTATGTCTCACATACTTTGGACATGTTATCAGGAGGGATCAGTCTCTGGAGAAGGATATCATGCTTGGTAAAGTAGAGGGTCATCGAAAAAGAGGAAGACCTTCAACGAGATGGATTGACACAGTGTCTGCAACAATGGGCTCAAGCATAACAATGATCATGGGAAAGGCGCAGGACTGGGCAGTGTTTCCTTCCATTGTACATAGGGTTGCTGTGAGTCAGAACTGACTTGGCAGCACCTAACGATGATAACAGTTGATGCCAGTTGCTAAGGATCTGGAAATAAAAAATCTGTGCTTGGTTGTTTCTGGTTTTTCCTCTCTAGTGTTTGAATGTCCCTATATGCATGTTTTAAGAGTTATTTTGGAAATTATGCATCTAAAATTAATACCATAGCCAAGAGATGTGCATGACATTTTTTAAATTCATCTGAGAAAAATTAGGGTTTAGATTCTTCATTCTGTCAATTTTAAAACAATACCTTGAATCAGGTTAATACCTTCACACAAGTTTTTTCATAATTAAGTTTTTTTTTTATCACTAAATTTCTGTCTTACAAGAGATTATTTATATTAGTCAGTACATACTGTATGCTTGGTAAGAGTATTTCAAAACAAATGCTTTTTGGTGACAAATTCACTTAGAAAACTAAGATATACGTTTTTTAAATTCTATTTTTTTAATTCTCTCAAGTCTACCAAAAGATGTAATGTATTTTTTTATGATGTACTGTATGGCAAAAGGAGTCCCTGAGTGGCACAAATGATTAAGTGCTCCACCACTAGCCAAAAGGTGGGCTGTTCAGACCCACCCAGAGGTGCCTCAGAAGACAAAGCTGGTGATCTGCTTCTTGAAAACCCTATGAGACAGTTCTGCTGTGCACACGTGGGGTCACCATGAGTCAGCATCAACTCGACTGCAACCAACAGCAGTGACATATAGGAAAAGAAACCAAAGAACTCAAGTAACTCAAGAACAAGTAGTATTTCGTGGGAGCTGATGTAGTTTAATTACAAAGTTATATTTCAAGAAACACTTATGTATATTTAGTTTTTTAAATATGTAGTTAGTAATATTGATCATCTTTGAAATACAGTAGTTTGTGAACAGCTTTTAATAGATTCAGACAGGAAAGGTTATCCATGAAAATTAATTTTAATCGTTCTAGTTTAAAAAAAGTTGCTGCTGTTTTCTAGGTATAGAGCACCAAGACTCACAGCATTCTTTCTTGGCATTTTTGAATACGCCTACCGATGGGGATCAATTTGAAGTAAGTACTAAACTTTTAAAATATCCTCTCTGGTTCAGTTTAGAACTCACTTTGTGATTTAAAATTTATTTGCAATAACACCTTTATCACATCCCACATAAGAGGACCTAGAATCTTACCTAAACAAAAACATATTAGGAAAGGAATATGTTCTGCATTTTTATGTAAATTATAATCACATATATATTTAATAAAACGTCTAAGAAAGGTCTTAAACATCAGAGTCATTATTAAATTTAAAAGCAATCTTATCTCCTCCCCTAAGAAACAGTAAGCACAGAATAGATTCCAACTTTTGAAATTAGTTTGACACTTCTTTTTAATCCAAAGCATAGAGTCAAAAAGCAAGTGAAAACGTCCAAGTTCGCAATAGGGCATTGCTGGCTCTTTTTTTTTTTTTTTTTTATAAAGTATACAGTAAGAAATGTTTTTTGTTAAAAGTATTACATAGGCTTTATTAGGCAGATTTCCTAATAATGAAATGTGATTATGTGACTCTTTGTCATTCCTTGAAACTTAAATGATTTGCTGAAAAAAATCAATTTTGTGATACCAGGTATATTTTTGTCTTAGAAACTTTAAGTTAGTGATCATATCTTTATTCAACAGATAATAATTGTGTATCTCTTTGCAAGACACTGTCTAGGTGTGGGAGATACAGCGGTGTTTCTTCGTCAAAGAGCTTATTACATTCTAGTGGGAAGAATTAGAAGCAGGGTTGCTTACTTTTAGTTGTTACATTCTAAAGTGCTTACATTTAATTTGATTATTAATGATTTGCCATGAGCTTCATTTTAATAAATTTTGAGCATAGTATATAAATTATATTTCATTCCTTTGGGAAAAGGAAAAAAATCACTTTCAAAATAATAAATTTCTGAGTTTCTTGAGAAACAATGACAGTGACTGCTTTTCTCATTTATTTGAATTATTGTCATTTGCCTTTCAATTGTTTTACAAAATATTTGATTTATTATTTGTTCTTATTAAATTGCTTCATCCATATTTTCTATTTTTTTATTGCTGTATTCTTTAAATAGGATTCCTTTTCTTCTTCCTCATCTTCACTGATTGATTTTTTGGATGACGTAAGTCTTTGATTTTTCAAACCCATGCATCCTTCAGTAAAAGAGATCAGTGAATTGATTTGAAGAATTTCCCAGTAATGCAGTCAGTTTTAGAAATATCACACTTCAGAATTTTTCTGTGGGCCAAAATGTGCTTCTTTCTTATCTCAAGTATAATGAAGTGTTTATCATTAAGCATAATAAAGTAAAAAATATACTTTGAAAAATAATTTGGCCATCAGAGAATCTCTTTATTTCCATTCTTTGTAAACATTTCTGAAGGCCAGGATGCTTATTTGATTTTTGTCACTCTATATGTAAATAACTGCTCATTTTTCTTTTTCATGATGATTTCTATTTTACTTTCCCCTCTTCTTTTCAGCACTTTACTATTTAATTTCTGTTACTTAAAAATAAATCCTCTGATGTAATCAGAAAAGGTTATTCGTTATTAAATTCTCTAATATGTTTTATCATTACACAATAATAGAGTACAGATCAATTTTTAATGCTGACAGAATTTCTCTTCTAAGATGGAAAGTGATTTTAATTAATATATATACTATAAATTGACTGCATTATCATTTTCTCTCCTGAATTAATTCTATAGATTTAATAATTTAGAAGTTCTTATAAAATATATGTCATTAATTCTCTTTATAGAACTGCCTGGCATATACATTGTCTTTATTCCACATTAAACAGCATAATAATCCTTGTTGTAAGGCATTTTATTATTCTGTTTAAAATTCATTCTTTTCAGAAATCGGGAAATAAAGTGGGTTCAAATACATTTGAACTGTTTTTAAAACCAAGGAAAAATTTTTAAATGTTTATTCTTATGTTTTGTTAAATAGAATATGTATTATATTCAGAAGTCTATACAGAACAATTTTCTACTATAGGAACCTCTTGATTTGGAATATTTGTTATTATTTAACAAAAAAAGTGATTTTTATATGTTTAAAATAGTTATACCAAAGTGTGTATATTTTGCTTCTAAATGGAAACTATTTTATTATTCTTGAGATAAAGAATTTATTCTGGTGGATTCTACAATGTGTTAAAAAGAGAACTGTCTTTATGTACAATGATATTGCATGTTATAATCTGGTGTTCAGTATATTAAAACACTCAATATGGTATTTCCATACAGATATCATTCACAGAATAGAAAGAAATTTGAGTAAATTATTTTAATTGTTCTTTCCACTAGGAAACCATTTTCATTTTTCTTTCTAACAAACTCTTCTCTCCATCCCCTTTCCTCCCACAGCAGTGTAAAGGAACTCCTGGCAAAAAAGTAAAAAGGGGTTGCGTTCACAAAGGCTGCCTGAATCTCTGTGAGTCAGGCCCTCGTTCTTAAAAGATGTAGTATTCCCTCATTTGCTTCCTAAGCTCCATTCTCTCAATTTATTGGTTAAACACATAAGCTGGTTCAAATCCTGCCTCTACTACTTTCTAAGTATATGATTTGGGGCAATCACCTAACCTTCTGTGCCCCAGTTTGCTCATCTGACAAATAGGGATGATAATAGCACCAATCTCATGAGGTTGTCTGAGGATTTAAAGAAACAATATGTGTAATGCCCTCACTGATATTGGTTATTATTTGCTTACTGTTAATAGGCTGATTCCCCTCTCTTACTATATTCTTTTATTTCCTTTTTTTTTTTTTTTTTCTTTTTCCCATCAATTCAGTTTCATTTTGATACTTTCTTAGCTCTTCACCATTGAGCCTTCCACCCACCACCAGTATGAATCACTCTATACTTTTCTCTGGAATTGTCAATTTATTACAATGTGGGAAATTATTTTTATCTGTCAAGAGGAAGGCCAGCAGTGATCTCCCACTTTTTAATATTTTATATTCTCAATTTATACTTTATGGCACAAGCCTCTTTGTTTCTCGTCGTAGTTCACAGCCATGACCATCCTTTCCAGAGTTATCATCCACTTTATCCACAAAGTCAAAGTAGAACGATGTTTTGAATAATAGAATTCTGTCTCTGGCATGCTTGGGTTCAGCATCCATGATATTTAGTATAAAACTCAAGTTCTATAGCTTCCTTTCTGCTAGGCATTTGGATTTTTAAGGAATGAATCAAATCTTGATTGTTCTTATGTGCCATACTAGTTAGACTGGTGTGCCATGTGCATAAATGTAATAAGAAGAGTACAGTAAGTGGACTCTAATGTTTAACTAACCCATAATAAGCATCCATCTGGTCATTCTATTCTGTTTTCTGTCTCATTGCTGTAGAAAGGAGGAAGATTATATTGAAGACCTAAAATTTGACTGTAGCTGGAAGCTGTAGGAATAGGAGGAATAAGAATAGCATTAAGCAAAAGGGAGTTTTCTTTGGTGTTCACATGTCATTTACCTTCTCCCTCTTGCCGGGGAGCCCAATGCCTTCAAGCTGCCCTCTGACTATTCAAAGCTTTTCCACCGGTGCATCTTCTCCTCCAAAATTACCTTCTACTTCTCTTCTTAACTCTCTCCCACACAGGCCTATTATAACTATGATTTATTTATTTAAAACAATACCATATGTTTTTGCCTGTTAATTCAGCAATCAAATGAATACTGGGATTTTTGGCAGTTATGAAAGATGTTCAGAACAGGATGTTTTCCTTTTAAGTCACATGTATAAGAAGAGAAGGAGTATATGTAGCACCAATCCCTTCCTCTCCCCTGGGAAAACAAGATGAAGGCAACCAGGTAAAGCAGAATACATTCTCAACGCTCTGCTTCTGTAACTCAGGAGCACTTAGGCATTTGAGCTTTCCTACATGTAGAGTCATTGACTTTTAAAGGAGAAAAGAACTTGGAAAATGTTTAGCCAAGTAGTTTTAACCATTATTTATCACAAAAGAGTAACTTACTAGGATTCTCTTTGGGGGAGAAGGGAAGTGGTGATAAAGGGGTTATGTATGACATTCTTTAGGACAGATAAAAAGGGATTTGAGTTAATTTAAAAGGAAACTGAGACCACTTTGATTAGGTAGTCTCTATGGTAAGGCACTCCCAGATGAGGTGTTAAGAAAGCAGTAAAACAGATACCAGGATCCCTTCTGTGGAAATTACCTTCTCTTCTACCCTCATCTTTTCTCCCAAACCCACATGCCCAATCATGGACTGCCTTTGATAATCCATATTAGGGCCAACCTTATTCTCCAGCTAACAAACAGGATGAAGGGCAAATGAAGCTCCATAGCTTGGAGTTCTCACTTTTCTCTCCCATCCATTTCCTTCGTCCTGATGGTAACAGATCCACGGGTCATCAGATCAACCTTGTAGCAACTTCCTACTTTGTTCAGTTCATTTTCTTCTTTTCAACTGAACCAAAAAATCTTGGTTTGACTACATTAAAGGTAATACTAATTGTAGTCCTATAAATGAACTACTTATTCTTTATATTTAATAAATATACTGTCAGAATATTAAATATGTACGAGGTAAGTTTCAAGTTTTATTAAATTATAATTCTATATTCATTTAGGACCAGTTCACAAAAATTGAAACTGCTCACTTGCCTGGCATAATGGGAACATACTCCACCTGCTTTTTGGAGGTTGCCTTACTCTGGTGTGCTAAGGGAAGAGTAAATCAAGGAATTAAAGTACTGCAGTGAAACCTATGAGAGCCAGAACTTGATTGAACTGATTTGTTTTTCCAGGTCTCACAGGTTTTCCACCTTTGACAGGGTGCAGCCTTACCACTTTTCTGTCGTTCATTTTTGTGGGAAATATTCGAGTTTTCCTTCTCTGACAGGTTTCCACCTTACATATGTTCCAGCTTTCACAGGTTTTTACAGTATCATATAAAGGTTAGACATAAAGAAATAGAGATAGTACCTTCTGTCTTGTTCTTCTACTATTGTTTTCATTTCTTATATTCTAGCATATAAGAGAAGCAAGTAGGCTGAGAAT